CACCTGAAGGAGGAGGCGCCAGCATGACTGGTAGGTGAAGGTGCACAGCACGTGCCAATGTCCTGTGGTCACAGAGGGCTCCTGTGGCCGAGTGGCATAAAGTGAGGCTGGAGCAGTGGGTAAGGGACACCTTGTGATGGTTCAGAGCCTACAGCGTGAAGGTCATGTTTCCTTCTCAAGGTGTGGGACAACAGCAAAGGTTTTTAAGCTGGGGGGGTGGGGTGGGTAACATGATGGGATTTCCAAAGACTGAGAAAGCAGACTGCCTAGTGGGGGGGGGGTAGGGTTTGGGGGGTGGGTTTTGTAGATGCTGAGTGGCATGGGCAGAGATGGAGGATGAAGACAGGAGCGGCTGTCTGTCGAGATTCCTGGCCCTCGATGGTGTCTGAAGGCAGCCTGGGTACGGGGAGGCCTGGGGGCTTGTAGCACAGCCTCTGCAGAGTAGAACGTGTGAGCGGCTCAGGTCCAGGGAGTAGGGCCGGCGAGCTCTGGCCGCTGAAAGTAGGTGCGTCATCTCCAAGATGTCAGAAGGCGGAGGGTTCGCGGCTCTGGCTGCGCGTTAGGGGCCCCTGGGCCCTATTCCCGGGCCGCTAGGGACGAATCAGGTCCGAACGTCTAGAGGGTGGGGTATCGGGAATTTCCCGCGGCTGCTGTAACACACGACACGAGCCAAGTGGCTCGAAACAACACGCATGTATCATCTTGCAGCTCTGGAAGTGGGAAGTCCGGCACGGGTCTCACCGGGCCGGTATCAAGGGGCCGCAGGTTGTCTTTCTGCGGGAGGCCGCAGGGGCCGGGGTGGGGGGAGCGGCCGCCTCCTGGCCCTTCCCAGCTTTGGGGAGGTGGCTCGCGCTCCTCGTGGGGGGCTCCTGTCACACCAAGCTCTGCTGCCTCTGTTGTAGCGCCTTCTGTTCGCCCCCAGCCTTCCCGTCATAAGGCCCTGGGGCGGCACCAGACCCACCTGGAGAATCCCGCCATCTCAGGACGTGTCATCACACCTGCGAAGCCCCTCGTGGCCACATCAGCTCACACGCCCACCGGCTTGGGGGTGAGGACGCAGGCGTACTTGGCGGTTGGGGCGCCTCTTCCCATCCGCCATGGGGGGTAAGGGGTCCCGAGGCTTTTCTGCAAAGCGACCCTGAAAGAGGGGGCACCCTGAGCACAGCCGCCTCTTCCGGCCACATCTTGGAGCCAGGTGCTGTGGGGACCACGGGAGGGACGCGTCGTCAGGGCCAGTCCCATGTACTGCGTCCGATGACGGAAAGAGACGGCGTCAAGGCAAAAAAAAAAACAGTTGTAGAAGAACACAGGCCGGGGAATCAGACAGACCTGGGTCCAAATGCCAGCTCCGCCTCGGCCCAGCCACGTGGCTTGGACCAAGGGACTCAAACGGCTTGTGACCTTCCCGTCTGTTAAGTGAGAAGGTTGTGAAGATGATTAGCCGCACAGGACCCAGTGCTGGGGCGGCCAGGCAGTTTACGAGGCACAGGGGGAGACAGGCAAGGGGAGCTGACTCCCCAGGCAGGTGAGGTCTCTTCGTCGTCCCCCTCCCTGCCTCACGGCTGCTCTGGGTTAACACCGCACTTGCAGCGGCTCTAGAATCTGGAGAATCCGGCCAGGCTGGTGTCGTTGTCGGTTCCCCCTCCCCCCGGGCCTAGCTGCTAAGTACCCTGCGGTGAGACCCCCAGGCACCCCCCGCCTCCAGTCCCGGGCAGCGGAGAATGGGTGTGAGGTCCTGGGACATGGTGGGGGGGGGAGCTGTTGCTGCCCCCAAGGAAGACGGAGGCGGGCGGGGCAGCGGGGACAGTGTGCAAAACATGGCTCCTTGTCAAGCCTGACTGTAAGTGACGGTGCCCACTGAGCTAAGAGACAAAAGCCAACTAGCCAGCACGGGGTCTCACCGAGCGCTCTCAGCCACAGCCGCAGACCAGCCCACTCAGTTCTCCCCCACAACCCTGTGGCCGCAGGTCTGTCACTGTCCCCTGGAGACCTGAGGCACAGGAACAGGGCCGGGGGGGGGAGGGGGCGGCGTGCGTGGAAAGCTCTAGCCGAAGACGGAGTTGGTGGCGGGAGACCAGATTTGAGCCTGGTAGCCCGGTGATTAACTGGTAGGCTGGTTCCTCTCGAATTTAACTGAGAGTAGTTTGAAAGGCTCCTTTCGATTTCCTAACGGCATGGAAGACATCTGTAGATGACCCCGAACACTGCAGGGCCACAGGTGTGCCACCTCCGAGTGGCCTCCCCAGACCTCCAAGGTGGGCCTGCCCCCAGGGTGCCCCTCTCTACCCGGAGTCCGGCCAGCTCAGGGCCCCGGGCAGCACACACCATGTTGCAAAGGACACCTGACTCCCTAGTTCCTCAATCTTCCCAGCAGCAGCGTGTCGATCTGTTTTCTTAATTGCCCTCTATAGTCCATCCCTCATTATTTTTTAAAATGTTTTTTATTTATTTCTGAGAGAGAGACACACACACACACAGCATGAGCAGGGGAGGGTCAGAGAGGGACAGAGACACAGAATGTGAAGCAGGCTCCAGGCTCTGAGCTGTCAGCACAGAGCCCGATGTGGGGCCCGAACCCACAAACCATGAGATCATGACCTGAATCGAAGTTGGACGCTTAACCGACTGAGTCACACAGGCATCCCCATCCCTCATTTTTAAAACAAGTTTGTTTAGAGAGAGAGAGAGAGAGAGAGAGAGAGAGAGAGAATCCCAAGCAGGCTCCGTGCTGTCAATGCAGAGCCTGATGCGGGACTCGATCCCATGACCACGAGATCATGACCTGAGCTGAAATCAAGAGTCGGATGCTTAACCAACCGAGCCACCCGAGGCGCCCCCGTCCCTCATTATTCTTTATTGAGCGTGAACTTTACATGACACAGACCCCTGAAGTGTCCAGTTCGGTGGTATTTAGTACAGTCACGATGTGTGCGGGCATCTTGTCTACCCCAGTTCCAGAACACTGTCGTCACCTGGCGCCCAGGGGCACTCACTCCCCTTTCCTCCCTGCCCCCAGGCCCCGGCAACCTCGAATCTACTTTCTGTCTGTAGGGATTCGCCTTTCTGGGACATTTCACATATATCGAACCATAGAGTTGTGGCCTTTTGTGTCTGGCTCCTTTCCCTCAGCTTGATGGTTTCCAGGTCCGTCCATGGTGAACGTGTGCCAAGGCTTCAGTCCTTTTTACGGCTGGGTAGTGTTCCAGGGTCTGGAGAGACCCCGGCTCGGGCCTCCATCCGTGTGTGGATGGTCACTGGGCTGTCTCCACCTTGTGGCTAATCTGAACGGGCTGCTGTGAGCACTGGCGTACAGGTGCTGTGTCCGAGTCCGTTTTCGGTTCTCCTGGGCATATACACCCCGAGGAGCAGGGCTGCTGGCTCACGAAGCTCTGTGCTTAACTTGTTGAGGAACCGCCAATCGGTTTTCCGCAGAGGCTACACCATCTCCCGCCGCCACCAGCAGCGCATGAAGGCTCCAGTTTCTCTCCACCCTTGGCAACAGATATTTTCTGTTAGGACAGCTGTCCTACGTGTGTGTGAAGTGTCCATCCTCCACTCTGAAAGCAGAGCTGAGATGCCATCCGGCCCCACCTCACTGATCCAGCCGAGGAAATGGATTCCCAAGGTCATCGCAGAACCCTGTGCCCTCGGCCCTCGGCCGTGGCCCCTGCAGCCCGCCCTCTGGGGCGACTTTATTAGTAAGGAATGTGTGCACGCAGAGAAGGATCCTTGGGCACAAACGCACTCGGACAAGTGAAAGCAGCTGACCCAGCCCTTAGAAAAACTCCGGAGCACGCCCCACTCACACCCAAACCTCAGAAGCTACTCTGAACCCCAGGCAGTTAACACGAACAACCTCCCTAACTGCTTCCCATCTGGGAGACTTCCCTGACTAACCCCTTTGAGTGGCTTTCAAAAAGCTCTGTCCCCTTCCCAGAGAGACAGGAGGCTGGCCTGCCTGGCCCTGGATCCCAGCTCTGCCCCCTCCCCCCACACTGGGCCCATGAGCTTGGCTACGCGACAACTTCTCTGGGTCTCAGTTTGTCTGCTGTAAAACAGGTTGTTGGGAGAATGAAGTGAGTTACCACATAAGGTACGTAGCAGCCCCTGTCACCGAGCTGGTGAACAAGGTAGGTACTCTTCACTGCAGCAGCCTAAGGTATTAAGGGGGGTTGACAGGGGCAACCCGTGTCCCCACATCTCCACCTGTGTCAAAGTGGCAAAGAGGCCCTCCCCCGTTGATAATAGGCAACCTGGGGTATATTCCTCCAGGGCTGGGTTCCTTAATCTACATCATATATGTGTACACTACATATAAAATGTTATATATATATAATATACATGAATTCATTATATATTTGTATATTCATTATATATTATATTCACATATATAACATATAGTCATATATTCATATTACGTATAGTATATATATCTATATATTCGCTCCATTATATGTATTCAATTTCTTCTTCTCTTCCTGTGACTTCAGGAGTGATTCTGGCAGACCTGACGTAATTTTGACATGACTGATAGATTCTCTAGGCTCTTTGCCCCTGACCTTTGGGGAGAAGTGCCTTTGACATTTTCAGTAGCGATGGTCTTTGTGGGTTTGCTGTCTCTGGGCACAGCAGCCAGAGGGAATTAGAGAGGATTCTATCTGCCACAGAAGGAATTCTCCAACATACAGTGACAGCCCTGGTATGGAGGTCCCCTACTACTTGATAGTCTAATTTCTCTCTCTCCCAAGGAAAGGAAATTTGAAACCGTTTATTGAGAAGGACAGAGTTGTGACTTACTCTGATAGGGCCGGACGCTGCCAAGGCAATGACGGTGGAAAATGCCCGTCAAGGCATCGACCTTACATCAAGAGCCAGGGTCCAGGCAGCAAACCGTTGAAGGTGTGGCCCAAAGCTGGCATTCTGTTCAGAAATCAAGTCAAGCTACATCGATAATGCAAATTTAAGCAGGAGCCGCTGTAAAAAACTAGAGCCAATCAGGATGCCTTCCCCATCAAATTGTTTTATTAGGTTAATTAAACAGCTTAAAGACAATTCATTTTGTTCGGTACCCTTCTAGAAAATATTTCAAGTTTTAAATGAACTTCCAATACATAAAACAAAATTACTTTACCATAGACAAATTTCAGATCAAAATACAACACTCTGTTTTCTGTTTTCTTACAGTTATAAAATCCAGTCAATACAAACTACATATAAAAGATAAAACACTTTCACTGATCCTCGGCACAAGAGAACAGCAGTACGTTCCCACCCGCAGTCGCCCCGCGGCACACGAAGGAGGCCAACAAGTGCCGACGAGGGGACACACCTTTTCTGCATCAGTGTTACTTGTAAACCATAAAGCAACTCTGTAAGACAAGTTACGGATTCAAAATTACTTCAGCTTTGCTACATTTCACACCAGCAAAGGAATAGAAAGTTACTCCACAGAACAAACCCACAGGACAAACGAGCGCATTTGGACCACAGGGTGTCGGAGACTGCGACGTTCCCGCGACATCGCATCAGCCCTTCTGTACCGTCGCACGCGGTTTGAGCGGTACGATTCTCGTGGCTGCAGCCTCCTGGTGCCTCACATCTTGTCAACTGTCCGCATCAGGTCTTTCGTGTAGCTTCTGTGTAATTCACGGCAAGTCTCTGGCTTCTCAGCAGGGTACCCGACTGCATGCAACACAACCTCGCTGAACACACGTCTACGCAGACTGCTCAAACTGGACTCTTACCAGATAATAAAACCTGCGGGATTTACACTCAAACGATTCTGTGTCGTGTCAGAAAATAGAAATATGTTCGTTCGACAAACGTTTGTGTTTTAACCAGATGAGTTCTGATACGGTGCTTTTTTGAATTGGGTATTTACGCAATTTTCCTTATGGTATTAATAGTGATAAAAGGGCAAATCAAAAGTGCACTAAAACCCACTTCTCGGAAGGGTGACCCTCACATCGCTACGCCTGGTGCCACACAGGCGACCAGCGTAAAGGAGCGTCGCTGGCTGTCCTCCTGGGCCAGAGGCCACCGTGCACGTCAGCGCTGGGTCTCGCCTGGAGAGCCCAGTGGCATTTACAATCCTGGTTTAAGGAATTCCCTGGATAGTCTGCTCATAGCAGGAGAGCTCCATCACACGGCAAAACCCAAATGAATCTACACGTTTACAATGACTTATGGATGGATCTCATCCACAGAAGGACACACGGATCCCTGTTACCGGGACCACACGGCGACACAATGAAGCCTGCCCGAGCCTGCCTACGGTGCTTCTGCGGGCAGCTCCTCATGGACGGGAGTGGACGGGCACGGAGGGGGAGGGGGCGGGGAGGTGCTTTTGTTTGGCCCGCTGAGCACCGGGATCTGCGGAGGCCTTACCACACGGCGGGCGGGCTGCCACGGGCACTCAGCACCGCAGCCGCGGCTGCTCCTTTTGTACGACTGTCCCCGTCCATAAATGGTACTATTCAGAACGAAACAAGTATCACTGCGTCCCTGACAATTTGAAGGGGTACAAGAGTGAGGCACCGAACAAAAGTTGTGTGACCCATGGTCAAAAGGAAAAGAATCCTATCAGCAGAAAAAGCCACTGATGATTTAATGAAGCAAGTGTTGCTAAATAGTCTGTGCTTTTCTCAACTAAAGGCCACTTGAAACATCTCCCACTGTAAAATTATCCGCCCCGTGGAATGTGGCTGTTTTCATGGAGAACTTGGATTCTGAGGTCCTATGTCCTCAGAACAGATACTGTGTTCACAGATACTGTGAACCCACATAAATTGGTTTGTTTTCAAGCTGATGATACCCTTTTGCTCCCCGCCCCCCCGCCCCATACCAGATCCTACAGTTTTTTTTACAAAGCGTTAAGAGTCAAATTCGATAAGCACATGCTAGATTAATAATAATACATTTATTTTCTGGAGTTTCTTCAGAAGCAAAACTTCCTTTTGAAGAAAATAGGAAAAGATGCTCTCTCTCTGATTGTAAACGAGCAGATCTAATTTCCAATCCTACTCACAATTTGGAGTGGTGTTTTTAAGTTCCAAGCCGCCTAAAAGGCAAGGAGACCGCGGGCTCGCTCTGCTCTAGCGGATGCGGTGACAGCTCGGCGCCCAGGGGCCAGGCCTGCAGGTGGCCGAGGCACACCGGCTGCCCAGGTCCTGAGCGCGCCTCGCTGGGCCATCCGGGGCCCATACAGCGCCTCGCGGCCTGGTGCTGAGGTAGGACATGTGGCATCTACAGCCCCTTCTCCCAGCTCGGAGAGGAGCCCTCAGGGCCTCCGGGCAGGCGTGGCGGGTGGGCCGACCTGGGCCCCAGGGAGACTGTTCTAGTCTACAGCTGCTTAAGCAGCCTCAGCCATGTAGCTGACCAGGCCTCGGAGGGGAGGCTCAGGCTCAAGCTCTCGCTCAGCAGGAGGGGGTGGCGTGGACTCTGGGAAGCTCCCCGGGGCCTGGGGGGCGATCTGGCTCTCCAGCAGCCAGGGCCAGCTGGCTGTGCAAAGTGCTAGTCACAGAGGCTGGGTCAGGAGCTCCCAGAAGAATGCCTTTTCAATACGCATTTTTAGGCTAATGGTCTGGGGAGCAAGAAGAGTTGTTCTTTTTCTTCCCCTTTTTGGGATACATAACTTAAGAAGTTAAAACCTCTGGCTGGGACAGGTGTAGGATGAGGAGCAGAGGGTGTAAGATGAGACGATCTCTTCCACCCGGACCCAAGTGTCTACACTGGCGCAGGGAGACGCAGCAGGTGCGGAGGGGCTGGATTCCCCAGAGAGCACAGCAGCAGGGTCTTTGGGCGGCCGAGGTGGGCCACTGGCAGGCAAGCCAACACTGCTTCCAACAGCACTTCTCAGTAAGCGAAGACCAGTCAAGAGACGGGGAGAAAACGCAGCCACGTGACGAGGGGGCACAGATGGCTCCCTCCCGGGGACTCGGGTGTGAGAGCCCCGGCTGGCGCCTGTCTTCCTGTTTTGGGGCCGATCTCTGCCGAGGCCAGGGGTGGGGGCGCCGAAGAGGAAGAGACATGCAGGGTGGGGGGCCGCCTCCCTCCCCTCGGGACTCAGACTGCCATGTGCCTTCACAGAAGAGGGAGAGCAAAACCACAGGGGGAATCGGATCCTTTGTAAGTCCTTCTTGAAGGACAACAAGAATCTATCCCAAGGCTGCTGACTGCTCGAGCTAGAAGGAGCTCCATGAGGTGGGAGAGCATCCCAGGTTGCAGGTCACCTGGGCCCTGATGGAAAGAATGCAATTTTTACTCATCAGTTTTCTTAAATCTGCACAGGTACACGGCAGATTTAAAGCAAAAAGTATATAAAAAGCAAGAATCGCTGTTCTGGTTGACAGTATGGTTTTAGGGAAATCTCTAGAACTATGCCTATTTCTGAAAGTTCTCCGAAGAAGGCTGTGGCTGCTGGCCAGGGGCCGCAGCCAGAAGGGCGCAAACGGGCGGTGGGTCGTGGGGAAAGGAGGAGAGGGAGCACAGGTTGAAAGGAACAAGACTTTTGTCCTCAGAGTCATCACAGAAGTACAAGCTCCCTCCTCCCCGTGCCGCGTTTTACTTAACTGTTTACTAAGCTGTTTGTCTGCAAGGAGCTTTTGGGTGCCTAACATGCCACCACAGGAAGAACGCCCTCGCCCATGCTGGCGTGGCACGAGTCACAGCTCAGGGACTCATCCTAGGGGGTGCTTTCAGAGACAGGCGCTCAGTACCACGGAGGCCCCCGTTTTCCCACGAGGCCACGGTGTCTGTGTCCACTGTTGGCCTGAGCCATGCACACCTGCTCGCTCTAAAGACCCCCCCACAGGCCAGAGCCTCAGGCCTCGGGTCCTGCTTCCAGCGCCCAGAGCACCCGCCAGCCACACCACCATCCCGCGGGGGTCCCCCAGGCTTGCCCAGCTCTCTCCACTGGCAGCGCCTGGAACTGGCAGCTAAATTCAGGGGCCCAGGGGCCCATGTGGCACTGCCCATGGATGAAGGAGCAGACTAGACGGCCTTTACTAGCTGCCAGCCCACTCCCCCAACAAACACTAGTCTTTTTTTTCTTTTGTTTTAAATTTAAAAAAAACTTATTTATTTTTTACTGCTTATTTACTTTTGGGAGAGAGACAGCATAAGTGGGAGAGGGGCAGAGATGGGGGGAGACGGAGGACCCGAAACAGGCTCTGAGCTGTCAGCACACAGCCTGACGTGGGGCTCGAACCCACAAACTGTAAGACCGTGACCTGAGCCGAAGTCGGACGCCTAACTGCCTGAGCTCCCCAGGTGCCCCATAAAAAATCTACTTATTTTTTAAAGTAAGCTCTATACCCAACATGGGGATTGAACTCACAACCCTGAGATCAAGAGTCAAATGCTCTACCAACTGAGCCAGTCAGGCGCCTCTATTCTTTTTTTTTTTTTAAACATTTATATTTTGAGAAAGAGCGTGAGCCAGGGAGGGGCAGAGAGAGAGAGAGAGAAGAGAGCAGGAGACAGAGAATCCAAAGCGGATTCTGATCCGCTGTGCTGACAGCACACAGCCTGATGTGCGGGGCTCAAACTCACCAACGGTGAGATCATGACCTGAGCAGACATCAGATGCTTAACTGACTGAGCCACCCAGGAGCCCCTATTCTTCTTTTTAAACAATTGGCTTGTGTTCAAATTGTCAGTGATTTCCCCCCCCCCCCAACTTTTTTCTTTCTTTTTCATTTAGGGACCATCTCTTCTGAACTTATATCTAAGATTTTCTCTTTAGCCATTTATTAGGCTGTAGCATCACTACAGGCCCTGACACCCAACACTTATTCCCTCGCAGCACTTTTCTCTACCTTTTACACTTTAATACAAATTGCTAAGAAAAATATGAAAAACAGACACTGTCACAGCACCTTCGAGGCTGGCATCGTCTGGCATGGATGTTCGATCCACTTCTCAGCCCTTTCAGCCCTGTCTACTTCCTTTTCTTATTCACAAAGATACCAAGAATGACTTTATAAAATGTTTTACATGCTGCTAAATCCACCAGTCCCAGAGGTGAACTGAAAAGGAAGCGATATTATGAAAGGAATTAAGTAGTTCACTTTCTGCATCACTTTGTTAAATAACCCTTCTTTATCTGAAGGTGCAGAAGTTTGACACGCACACACACGCACACACACACGCATGTACTTGTAATACAAATTTTGTTTTTTTGCTTAAGTTTCATATAGCATCCACGTTGAGAGAGAATAGGTTTACTGAGCTCAAACAGAGATCCAGAAAATATCCAGTTTATCTGACCAGTGCAGTCTACTACTTGTGGCGTTTTAAGGGAAAAAGAAAAATTTAACTTTGGTAAAGAACTTTAAGTATTCTTACAGGACTTCATTAGGGAAATTCTGAACTGAGGTTTATTTAAAACAACTCTGAATATTCTAAACACGCTTTCTGGGCTGCTTCAGCTCCACAGAATCTTCCTGAATTCAAATATCAGAGTTGTGGAAGGAGAGGAGTGGCTTGACTCCAGAAAGTATATCATTTTTTCAACACAAATACCCATTTACTTGTAGGTCCTGTGGTGGCAGATGTTCGAATGGGGGAGTGCCGAGGCCAGGACGTGCGGCAAGGGCTCGGTGCCTGGTGACAGAGCTGGGTGGTCACAGTGGCCGCGGTCACAGCTCAGCACTGTGGTGCCAGGATCTCCTCTGCCTTATGTCTCTTATCCTCAGAGCAACCCAAAGAGGTGGGCACCCTGTTATCCTACGTCTGCAGGTAGGGAAGCGGGCTTCAGGGTTAAAGGGCTCCCACAGGTCACAGAACAGTCTTTGGTGCGAGTCTTCACACCCACCTGTCCCTGCACCCGTGCATGCCTGTAGCCACTAGGTCTGCTTGCGCAAGTCCATGAAGTGTTTACACAGGCTTTCCTCAAGATAACTGAGAGGAAAAGGCTGGGGCTCCGAGGCGGCAAGCTCGGTTCTCTTGGAAACCACTTAGGGAAACATCTCACGCCCGTGGCCAGACCCACACGGTGCTGACACACTGTCATCTGGGGAGAGACCCTGCCTTTCACCTCAAAAAGCACAAGTGTAACAACTAGGTCACGTTGGAGCATAACAACAGTTCTGTGGCTTTTACCTGGCCTCTAAGTTATTACCGGGATGCTAGGTTTTTAGGAACGAGCAGAACTCTTTTGGGCCCTAGGGATGCTGGGTAATTCCTGTAAGAAACCACTGGGGGGTTGGGGGGGGAGGTCTCACTGGAGGAATCGATGGGCCTTGCAGTGGCTCCCCCTAACTTACTGACCGGGGAAGCTGAGAGGTGCTGGCGAGGACAGAACCCGATGTGTGCCTGTACCGTGCAGAGAAGGCGCACTCCACTGATGCTCAGAAAAACCCCAATCACTCAGGATTTGAAGTACCCTGCAATTCCATGTTGTTCGGCCAACCTCAACCTTGTACTTAGGAAACACATTCCGATTTCATTTTAAAACTCCAGACTGTCAGAATGGAAAGGGAAGAGGAATCTACTAAAGAACCTCTATCGTCATCAAAATTAAAAGATTCTTGGGAAATAAATTCACGAAATAGTTAATAGCTCCCTAAACCGATTGCAGAAGCACCTTACAGACCATGAAAATCAGTAGCCCCAAGCATCTAAATTCACACCGCTGGGTCAGATTACAGATAGACACCTTCTCGGTCTTATCCTAACCAAGTGGAGAGTGAGCCCTCTGTCTTACACAGCAGTGGTGTTTAAATATACTGCTTT